CAAACTGTTTGCAAAGATCTATCATCTAAACTACTTTCAAAAACATGGAGTATGTATGTTTGCAACCAGAGGGGCTGGATTGTGAATTAACTGCAATCTCACAAAAACAAATATTGATTAGACTTTTGTTGCTTATGAGATAATATGTATTTAAGACCTGGGTAAAGTTCAGGTTTATTTTGCTCATTGTTCTTAATTAATAACTAACCTTTACCAGCATTCAGATTTCAGCACTGAAAAATATTTGGATTTTTGGAGATCTAACATTAACTGACAACAGTTCACTTCTATGCACCTAGAATTAACATAAACAGTTGAAGAGTATAAGACTTTGGATAACAAACCAGTTTGTTTGTTCATCTCTTCTGATGACAATACTACTACCCTTCCTTACTTCAAGGTTGAAGGTCTATGGCTTTTCCTACGTTCTCTTTTACCAGATCTCTGCTGTCACTGGATGATGGGTTGTTCTCTTGACTTTCTAACCAGTGTTCTCAGACAAGCTTCTAACAAGCAATTTTATCTGTAAGAACTGGTCTTTCTCTGATAGAGAATTCTCAGGATGGGGCTTGAAATATCCCAGCAAAAATGCATCCTTCTGCTGTTCTAAAGTACTTTATCAAAGGTTTTTATGTTCCTGTGGCTAACATGCTGCTCATCAAACACAACGCTAGAACATAAGGAGAGGTCTCTAAGTACCCTCTGCATGCCAGATTTGCAGAAGTCAGAACCTTTTCAGTGGATCTAAAGCAGTATGTAAATATAACAAAGTGCCTCACAACAAGTATTACTTGGCACTGAAATTTGCATGTCTGAAAAACAAGACTCCTTGGGGTAAACAGCTTTCACTACTGTACAACTTTATTTCCTGCTTCATACTTCTGAATGTGTTCAGAAATCACAGGTGACATGCTTCATGATTCAATTCTTGTAGTATTTCTATAAGAAATTAGTAATCTACTGATTTTTTGTCATTTCTACCAAAGAAAAAGAGGTACACTCAGTGACTACGTGGCTTGGGTTCCCAAATCCCAACTGGCAAAGTGACCAGGGACTCACAGACGAGTACAGCAAAACGGAGCCAGCTCTCAAAGCATAGGTCCATCCACATGCTAGTCTACAGCATCCTGTTAATACAGAAAGTCTGATTCCCAAAAGCTAGGATATTATTGGTACATTATTGACCTGACCTAAGGTGCTATACCTCTAAGCAGAGGTAAATGGCAAGGGAAGAGCACTGTGCTGCCACAGCTGTGTAACACCTGGCTCCAGAACTAGTTGCTAGCTCCAGTCTTCTGCACCATGCTTCACTGAGACAACACACAGAGATGAGTAACAGACAAAGAGAAGGTCTCCAAAATCAAGTAGAATTTCAATATTGTGCTGAGCAGGTGTCAGATACAGAGTATCCCCATGTTTTTTTCCAGTATACTGGTGCTATCAGTCATGAAATGATTTGTACTGATCAAGAGCTCTTCAGAGAACAGAAAGAGTTTGATTTGCATTTTATTGGTTTCACTCAGTGGAGAAGACTGCAAAAAGAATTATTGAAGGGACTTCAGTCATTGCAGGCATCAGCCAAGATTTCAAATTTTTTTTCTTTTCTTAAGAAAACAGAAACAGTGACATATTTGTAAATTGAGTCAGCAAGTTATCAAAGCACTTTCCTAAACTACTTTTTCAAGGCATTACTTTTTCTAACATAAGGCAGCTAGCTCTTCACTCAGATCAGCGTTAATTAAAAAGAGAAAGTACTGCAACTGCTGAATAAGGAATTAGGTAGTTCCTCATCAGAGTGCTTTGTCTCAAACAATGAGGACAGTAATATACGTGGCAGTAAGGCTGTCAAGATGTCATGTTTTACTGTCTGTAGCACTTATTTGTTTTTTGTCATCAGCTGTTCTTTGTATTTTGGTATGAAACTGTAGCATGACATTTTTGCATACTGTTAGCATTTACCACGCTTCACCCCAGGAAATATTGCTGTTCCCCAGGAGTGATATTTTGCTGCAAGATATTTGCGTTATAACAGTGATTGTGTCTCTAACACAAAGGTAGGAAGTAATAAAAAGAGGAAGCAGGGATTGCTGAGCATATTTTGTGATTTACTTGTTACTTTTCTTATAGTGATAAATTTCCCCAAACTCCAGCTTAAGCACCCTCAATTTCATCATTCATTGTTTTATTTTCACCCCCAAACCAGATAATCACACACATTCAGATACTACAACTAGGTTGTAGACAAAAGCAAATGCAGAAGGTGGTAAACATGAGTTACACACAGAGACAGTATATATAATGTGCAAGAACCTACCACATCTGGCCAGATGGAAATACTACTGTTTAAGTAGACTGTCCACGTTTCACTTTTTCGTAACATGATCCACAATATGATTCAGGCCAGAAATGAACCATGGTAAAACCCTGAGCCTGCAGTCAGCCTTGGCAGGACAACAGCTGCCAGTCTTTCCCCTGAGTGAGAGCAGGTGGTGACCTACATATGAACCATTTCTTGTTGCTTTGGGGTTCATTGATTTCAGTTCTCACTACTCACAGCTCAAATCTCAGCTGTGCAGCTAAAACATGAACCTCCTGCGCTGCACCACCGTGCTAGGATGCACTCCTTTCCTCCCTCTGCGAGGAGGAGGCCTCATCTGATGGGGAGGCAAACAGAGATAAGAGATTGGTTAATGAAGAAGGTCTAAGGGTGTAATCTGGTGTAAGAGGTTTGGACACAAAGATAATGAAATGTTAATTACAATATTGGTTACTGCTTCATTATTATAACAATGATACCACAAGCCAGTCTGCAGTGCATCTGGATTCACTGGAAAACCTCCAGAGCTATAGGTTCCAACAAGCTGTATACTTAGCTGTTCCTAAAATTAAATGCATGTGGAGATATACTGGTAGCAACCTATAAGAGGATAATGCAGAAGGCAGTTTCCTTGTACAACTCTAGAGTTGACATAAAATTTAGGTAGCAATTTGAACTATTTTATTCATCTCTTTATTAAAGCAAGATTAGTTAGATTATATTTCTCAGAACTGCCTCCCACCTGTTGTGAAACAGAAGGTTTTACTATCTGTTATTAAGATTATATGTGTTCATTGTTTGATTACTGTTAGTGATGAGTTATTTTGAATGTGGTTTATTTATCTTAATTTTATATTTTGCTTTTTGCACATTTTCACTAAAATTTCTTGTACTTGCTAGTGACTGTAACTCTATAGACACTTGTCTGCTTAAAGTTTCTACATACAAACTCACCTGCTGGAAATCTTGCTGAAAGAGAATAGAAGATGCATATAAATACAGTGAAATGCAGTTAATTCAGTTTTCCAGCTGAGTGAATATTTGTGTTTTTTTTTTTTTAATTTCAGGACTTCATATTGCTCTATCATTAGGTAGAGTTGTGTAAGAAAAAAATAATATAATGATATTGCCCATCCTTCTGCTCAAAAAAAAAAAAAAATTGGACAGAGGCATCACTTTACACTTGTTTAAAAATCCTCTACCAAACATAAAGGCTATAATATCCCTGCATTTTTAAACCATCTACTAAAATGGACAGGCTAAAATATTTTACAATTTCACAGAAAAAAGTTCTGAAAATTTTTAAATATGGATAAGCTTTTGCAGGTATCACAATGCTTTGCAGAAGTAAGATTACTTCACTTTTAACTGTTTACTAAAATGGCTAGCACTTACTGATAAACTCTGCAGACTTATGCGATACCCAGTCTAGCAAAAGCTCATATTATATTTAACAGAGAAGATCAAATTGCTGCAGAGTAAATGTCAGCAAGAAAACAGAACAGTTTATGAGGCAAATAGAAGTGATTTCTGAAGCTGCTCCTTCTACTAATTTGTACTGCTACTCAGCTTGCAATATCTGTTGGAGAATAAACACATACACAAGCACTCAGAGTGTGGGGTGCCTATGGGTGCTGGTGGGAAATTCTTACGTTCAAAGCCTGGGAGCTAGAGATAAGTTTTCTCATGTAACAGGAATCCAACATTAGAACACAAATTCCCATTTCAGAAAAGTTGCACATATAGCTTGTACTGCCTCTCCTGAAATACAGGAATTCATATTTTGGATTCAAGTGAAATGTGCTTTCAGATAAAATTTGATGTCTTATATCATGTAGTATGACTGTTCTTATCTACTATATACTACACAGCAAATGTGCATTTGCCAAATAACTTAATTAATCCTTTTCAAGGCAGGAATAGTCACTGAAATACCATTTTTCCAGTGTACCACCCAGAAGGCAAAAGTAAGGAACAAGAGGTAATGTGATAAAGCAGTGATGCTCCTTTAAGACAGTTATATTATTTTGCAGATACAAATTTCTTAATTTTAACATTACTTATAGAATAAACTCTGGCGATATTATAGAAAAAAAGCATTCTCAAGGCTTTTGCATGGCATTTGGAATATGATAAATGCTATAGTTATCTTGCATTGACAGTTCAGCCTGATGGACTAATATTAAGAAATATTACAGAATTATCCTCTGCTTTCTTGAAGCAGTTACTAAAACTTGGATCCAAGTATATATCATAGGTGTTAAAATATAAGGCTGGAAAGACAGTACATAATTTTCAGCAAATTATAATGCTTCTTTTCTAAAGCTACTGAAGTGAAATATTAGATTTTTAAAAACTCTTTTCCAATTAAGGATCTTGAATGGACAGTAGTCAATCTAATGTCTTCTTCCCTAAAGCCACTGGACAATTTTACAGTCATGTCCAATGTGATGACTCAGTTATGAGTTAACGTGTTGATTTTGAGACTCATCTTGTTAAACATTTTAGAGTTCATAGGCATCTGTGGGTTTATTTATAATATATTGCTCCTTCTTACATAAATAAAATGAAAATAACCTGGGTGCTTTGATATGAAGGAACACTGGAATGCTTTGTATTTACTTATGCTAAACTAACAATAATGAATAAGCAATAGCATGAAACAAGCTCATATTGGCCTTACCTGATCCACTAACTGGGAGTAGAGATCATAGCAATTGTCAAAAATGTATTTATAAGTTGAGTCCAGGCATGCTCTTACACAGTCTTTCACCACAGTACTCGCTCGAGGCGGGCTCTGCAATTCAAGGACCTAATATTTCATAAATGGTAGAATGTCAGAATTAGATTGAACACAAAAAATCCAAGTGTTGCAATGAATGCAGTTCTGTAATACAGGATGAAAAGCGTTGAAATATGATAATGATAAAAATATTTTAAATTGTGTTGACTTAAGGTGATCTTAGTTTAAAGATGCATTAAAACACATACTTAAGCAAGTAGATTGTATCATTAAGTTTTATTTGAATGAAATTATTCATATAATGAAAGAGGCATACGTGCCCAAGTGTTTACATCTTTAGGTTTTCCACTAGAAGTGGAAAATCTAAAGGTTTTTCCATTATTTAGGAAATAATTAACGATATAATTATGTGCTTTCCTCTGAATAAGAATATCAGCCAAATAGCTCTTCATTTTTTAAAGCAAAGGGTTCAGCTTTTTACTCCACTTTAGGATACATTAATTTGAACTTCAATTTAATGGATTATTTTAATGCTCTTTATGTAGTGCCTAACACAGTGAAATCACATGGTATTGCAACAAACGTTGTTTTGTGTTTCTGTATTTTCATCCAGTAGTATCAATGTGTACCATTCAATTCTAATAATATTTCAGAACTTTACCACCTAGATATCAACATCTGGAGCGACTAAAGCAAGTAGAATTATCAGACCTATTTTGCTGTTTGGCATGTGATATTATGATACTACTAGGAAAACATTATTCTGTATGACACACGTTCCTCATGAGTTCGACTGAGTTTGCTTTATGTGACTTTAAACTAATTAAAACGGTAAATTTTTTGTTTCCTTCAGGACATGTAAAAATAAGTGTTAAAAAAGGAAAAGATAGTTGTTTATTTTTCAAAGATAATGGCTTTTACCACATTGTTAATACAAAGTATGAATAAGATGACTTTACTTCAATGATCTTCAGTAAGCTGAGAGATTTAATTTAAAACTGAAGGAGATGAATTGATTGCGAGTATTAAATAGAGTATGATCTTCCTGGAAAATAAAAGGCAACAGCATTTTTTTTTTTTTAGAGTCATAAAGGACAATACCTTCATTCGAAAAAAAGTAATGCTGGTAAGCAGGTCCACAGTTGATTTCAGATCTTGGAGTCTTTCAGAATTGCTGGCAGGGAAATTATCCTGGTGAAGAGGGAGGAAGAGAGGAATCATGTGAAATTGGAGTTATAGGTAAGATCCTTGAACAACCAGGGAAAAAACCCTCTAGGAAAACACAGATGCTTCTGCAAAGGATTAGAAATGCTCATGTGTCACCTGAATTCTGCCTGTGAGGAAGTCAGTGATGACATGAATAGGAACACTTCTGATAATGCTCCTGTAACATGAATGATTTAAAATATTGTGATATTTTCAAAACAGTAATGGAATAAAAAATACTACAAAAAGACTGGAAAATGTTGCTAATGAAAATAATTTATGGGTTTTCCATGGTACACAAATCAATTGTAGGCATAAATGTAGTAGTAAGCTTAATGAAGAAACCATATATGAAATTTTTGCTATGATCTCTAGGTTAACAGGAAGACTGATGGGAAGTAGTTTTATTTAAATGGCTTCCTACTAATGAAACATCAGCCAAATATCCTCATGCTCCAATATTATCTGGATAACATTCTTCAAAATTAAAAGATCCTAGGATGAACATATCTGCTGCATGAAGGATATGGTCTTAAAAACTGAGTATGTGCAACTTCTACCACCTCTAATGCCTTGGGGTCCTTTCAAATATTCCATTTCTCATTCGGCTTTAGAAAGCAGGCCAGATGAACAGAGAAATCCCTGAGTTGGAGGCTGCCATTTCTAGAAGCTGAAAGGAGAGCCATAGCTGATGGAGCCCTAATCGCTTATGTATCATCCAAAAGTTTCACGATACAGTGCAATGGAAAAGGAGAGAGACTTCAGAACGGTATGATAACTTGCAGGTATTCAGTGCATGCTTCTTTCCTGAAAGGCTGGGTTTAGAGCATACCTCAGTGGAAAGAGCTTCCATGAGGCAGAAATGAAACTGGAATTCCTACCATGTAGAAAATGAGGAGTCAAGTATCTTTCGACATTCCTAGGATCTTAGCATGGAAGTTACAGCAAAGACGTCAGCCTCTCAGAATAAATACAGCAGTAACTGCAATTTGCAGTACATGAGTCAGTAAAGGTAATTCCCAGATGAATTAACTTTATCAAGTTATGGATTAATTTAACCAAAATTGTTGAATCCTACTCTTTCTTGAATGTCTGTTCATCCCTTGACCCATTCTTATCTTTTGGAAAGAAAATAGTAACTTTTTTCAAATTGGAAAAATACTGTTGTTAAACTGCTTAAGTTCTGTAAGTTTTTGTTCCAAAGGATCTGGCATCTCATGTCAGCACCCAATATTTTCAGCTTCTATGCCACAAGAGGGATTAACCTCTAAAACTTCTTTAAGCAGATAAAGTGCACAGGGATATTTACATGAAAAAACATTTGAGTTTTCCTCTAGACAGAATACATGGCACATACCCTGTATTTAGATAAATCAATCCTCAGAGAATTGTGCAATTGATCCAGCAGTTTTATGAACTTTTCTCTCTGTAAAAAGAAAACAAGAATATGTTGCATAAGAATTTGCAGATTCTTATAACTGATGGGTTTTTAGAAAGCTGCTTTCCATTCTTAACTTATTTGAAAAATAGATTGTTTTCTGTTGTTTCATATAAAAGTGCTGGTCTGAGATATCTGTGTTTCAAGGCCAGGCAATGTATCTTTTATCACTTTATTTTCCCTTTCTATCCTATATTGTGATTTACCTGGTATGCATTCAATACTGTGCAGCTGTGCAATACATTACTGAGGTGACATACTTTCCTATGCAGTGTTTTCCTTTCCTAATGACTGATGCATTGTTAAATAACTCCAAATATCTAGAAATTTAAAAGCATTGCCTGATGTTACTGACCAAAAATGCAATAACAGCCATCAACTCAGTATATAAGTCCAAAGTTTTAAGTTATGTTAGCAAGGCTTATTAAAACAGATAAGCTTGTTAAATTTTTATATTTGCTTTGTAATTGCTTACACTCTTGAAGAAGGCACTTTCCCCCTCCCTTTAATGTGTAAGAAACAATGCTTATTTACAGAAGAATTTGGTGTAAAAGTATGATTGAAAATTATACCTCAGAAACAGTGGCTTTTGTAACAACAAGCTAAGTAATACTATGCAGTTATAGTTTTCCCTTTCAAATGCGAGATAAACTTGTTATCTTGATAGATGAAGGTGCAGTGAAAACATTTTGCTGTGAGACACCCAGCTGAGTTGTGCCATTCTCAAGTAATACTAATGAGAGCTTCTAATTACCAGTCTTCATGTTAGAACATATTCCATAGTCCACTGCACAAAATTATGCAGAAATCCTTGCCAGTCTATGTGAAAGCAGCAGGCTTGTGGAAGTAGCAAGATCTGATAGCTCTCAGAATGCATGATGGTATCCGCACCATCCCTGAAATATGATCAGCAATAATATGAAAATAGAGTTCTTTATGCACTGTCTCTCATCAGTGGAGCACTAACCTACACCAAAAGCCACTAATTTGGCACAGTTCCCTTAAGGGATCAATCAAAAGGGAACTTTTTTGTCATGTTATAAATCTGTATGAAATATTCAGTCAGCCAAATCCTTCCCAGCTGTAGCCTGAGGACTTGAATTTGAGATGTTCTTTTTGATGAATGGTGTGCAGCTATCCACTAACAAAAGCCTTTTGGCTCAAGAGAGGAAAATAATCTAATATTTTGCCTATAAGTCAATTGTTTGAAAAAAAGAGCTCCAGATATCTATTTGTGATGCTTACTATTGTCTTTCTATCCATCTGTTGAACTATGAATTGGATTGCAATTTGAAGGTAAACTGGCATTAACATTAGAAAAAATGGAAAAAAATATAGAAAATCCAGCAAAAACACTCTAAATTTCAAAAGCTGGATCAAACTCAAGTCTAATAGGGCTTGAACATGGAAAGAGTAGCTTTGTTTCAACAAAGATGCAGTGTCATTCCATAATAAACCATTGATTAGCTTATAAAAGAAAACCTGAATAAGAACAGAGCAATACTGTGCTATCATGACAATACAATAATTAAATCATAAATATTCTGATAGTGCTTTTCACCTATAAAACTTTTTTACTTTATAGTAATGGAGCAACATTAATATTCCTCTTTCAAAGCAAACCTCTAGCAGAAGCAGCAGATAAAGTTCCAGTTCAAGAACATGCTGTTTCCAAACTAAAGATCTGGCCCTGGGTACATTTATATGTGAGTACTTCCACCAGACTTAACATTTAAAAGAAAATTAAATTGATATTTAGAGTAAATATTTCTCTAAAAAAATACTGAATGGACCTGAAAACAATGACTTAATGGGTTTTTAATTTTTTTAACAGACTTAGTACATCTAACGCTACTTCAAACAAGTATAATTTTTATTTAATAAATTCTAATTATGTTTAATATTTTATTTCATGTCAATAAATGGTATTTTAGAAAACACTATCATGTTTTCATAGCTACTCTTAAATGAAAAATAGCTTTGATATCAACCATACAAATAACAGCCATACAAAAGAAAGAGGAAGGAATGCATTTTCCAGCATCAAACTGTGTTTATACTCTGACTACATCATGTGTAATAGTAGAGATATGAAAGCAACCTCTAACCTCTTTGAATTATTGCTCTCCCTTCCCACTCTCATCTCCCCAGTGAGGGTAGGCGAACAAATCAGAATACAGTGTGAACAAAGTGAACATGTCTTTAATTTTTTATCATGTTCAAAGACTAGGAAGTCCACACTGTGAAATACTGATCCACTGAAGGAAAGTTAGCAACAACAAAAAAAGTACTACCACATCCTGAGATGCTGGTATTCCTCCTAAAATTTTTGATACCTAAATCCAGGACTTGAACAATGCACCATTATTTCAGCAAAAATAGAAGTCCATCCTTATAGGCTCTTGTGAGAAGAACAACAGTATTTATGGCTAGATCCACTAGACTAATATGAGTTCACTGACGACATATAGCCCAAGAAAGTAATTGCAACCGATACTTAGACCTTAGTGCAGTCTAGTGCAGTTGGTAGTTTGTAAGCCTCGCTGCAATAAAAACTAAAACTGATTGTTGAAGATTTTAGTATTATGCATGTGTGCCAGTGCTTTCTACCCTATATGCCTTACATATCACTATATAAGGAACTGAATAGTATCTTCTCTAGCTTTTATAGTGATTGATTGTAAAGACTCAGGGTAAAATTTTCAAAAGCTAATAGCAATGCTTATTCTTTAAAATGACCAACTTCTTAAAAATGTTTGAATTTAGAAGTTAATATGGTATCACGTATTAGGAAAAAAAAAAAAAAGATGAGGATTAGTATTCTATTGAAAAAGAAAATCTACTTACCCCAAAGTTGGTAGCTGCAAACCGATCTGAGGCAGATACATTAGTTGCTGCTGTAGTATGAGCATAGAAAGCATTTATATTGGCCAACAACGTACTCATAACTGCTGGAACACCAGGGCACATATATTTAGAAGACAGACAGGAAAAGTGCCTACAATTCAAACAAACTGACAGTTATTAAAGATGGCAAAGATTCTGCCCTTTCTCTCATCACAATTTCTTTTCAGCTCCAATGATGTAAATTTCAAGCTACATCATGGACAATTGTGCAGATACCCATGAGGAAAATCCAAACACGTTTGATATAATTTCTCCTTGTTGCCCACTGATATTTTCAAAATGAACACATCAGATTCACATTTGCTTCTTACTCTGTTAATCTTAAATACAAAAACATGATTTAACTGTCTTAACTGCTATTAAGCAAAACATTCATTATTAAACAGAAACTTAAAATCAAACACAAACATGTCATCATAAAAGGCCACAAGAGATCTATATTCTAGTGGAGAAAGATTTAATTGATGCCAACAAAAAGACTCAAACGAGCATTTTACTGTGGCTTGTATTTTAGGCTACATTATTAACAAAAGGTGAGGCATCGAGCAACTTCTGGGTTCACCTTAATTTGATTTAGACCGTAACTGAAACCATTCCACTTTGATTCAGGCCAGTAAAGTTTAAGTAATCAGTCTGTTAAACCTGAACCAGCTTCATATTGGAAAACAATGTTTAAGAAAAGAGAAAGTCTGTCACTGAGCCCAATTGGGGCTTCAGGAGAAAAAAGGCTTTATCCTCCATTTCCTGCAGAGTCTGAGGAGATTTACATTCTTACAATTCTGTAACTACTATCCAGCTTCCTGATCTGACCTGTTTTGATCCCAGAGGGAAGCTACAGCACTACCAGTCTTGTGGCATGGTGCTTGGACCAACAAGGGAGATTAAAGCCACGGCATATCTTTGTGCTGCATGCACACAGCATAGAAATATGGGCATTTATACAGCGAGGTATGCTACTGGAATGGGGGAGAAGCTCAGAGTGATGAACTCAGTTGGCTATTGAAGGCTGAAGCTGGCAGCAGCAGTAGGAGAAGGAGAAAAGTTTGGGTGAGCCTCCTATTCCCATTAGGAGCAGTTCAGTTAGAGCTGTTCTCATAGAATCATTTAGGTTGGAAAAGACCTTTGAGATCACCAAACCTAGCACATTAATGTAGCACTGCCAAGTCCACCACTAAACCATGTCCCTAAGCACCACGTCTCCCCTTCTTGTAAATCCCTCCAGGGATGGAGACTCAACCACTTCCCTGGGCAGCCTGTTCCAATGCCTGACTACCCTTTTGGTGAAGAATTTTTTCCTAATATTCAATCTAAACCTCCCCTGGCACAACTTGAGCCCATTTCCTCTCGTCCTATCGCTTGTTACTTGTGAGAAGAGACCGACCCCCACCTCGCTACAGCCTCCTTTCAGGTAGTTGTAGAGAGTGATAAGGTCTGCCCTCAGCCTCCTCTTCTCCAGACTAAACA